TAATAATTATAAAAATTGTCATATTCTGTGCTCTTATATAATATTTTGTACATTAAAACAAATACTAAATTCAAACCTAACAATTGTTTTTATAACCGAGTTATTATAAAATAAGTTATATTTCCAATTGATATCAAAGTGTTTATGGCTTTCTAAGTGTGTCCTAAATTTTGTAATATAAAGTATTGTTACAGAATGTGTTGATATTGAAGATTGATTGCAAAATTAATTGCAATATTTAATTAATGAAAAGTATTGAATAATAACGAGCTTAGACTGTAATGCCGTCATTGCGTTACGTTTTGTAAAACTTGTATTTCGTTCACAAGTCTCGCAAAGCCTTGCAGTCGGGTCTCAGTCACCAAATTGTGTGCAAAACAGTCACAACTCTTACATAATATTAACTAACGTTAAGTGAATTGCGAATCAAAAGTGAATATGAATTGTATTATTGTATGGAAAAAGTGATTGAAAAATAAGTGACAAATAAATTGTATGTAAATAACAATATAAGCGAACATTTGGTCCGTTTGTATAGCGACTGATGTGTGCATTGAATGCATTGGAAATGCTGTGAAAAAGTGGTGTAAAAAGCAATGACTGAATGAGTGTTGAAAATATGGCATCCGTTGAGAGTACGTCTGGTTTGCGACACAAACACAACACTTCCCACGAAGACATCACACAAGACATGACTCACACCGCCGGCCATCGCAACCACAGCCACAACGAGCCCATCGACGAGCGGTCGGAACCTGTGGTGAAACGACCGAAACAGTCGATGGATCTGTTGCTGCGGACGGGCGGCGCTTATATACCGCCGGCGCGACTCCGGCTCATGCAGAAGGACATCACCGATAAGAACAGTCAAGAGTATCAACGCATCTCTTGGGAGGCCCTCAAGAAGAGCATCAATGGTCTGATCAACAAAGTGAATGTGGCCAACATTGCCATCATTGTGCGGGAACTGCTCAAAGAGAATCTGATCCGCGGCAGAGGTCTGCTGTGCCGCTCCATCATCAGCGCTCAGACGGCGTCTCCCACTTTCACTCACGTTTACGCCACTCTCGTGGCCATCATTAACTCGAAGGTATGTCTCGGTGTCCATCACCTCATCTGTCACTCACGATCACAAACATTGTTCACACGTTTTGTTAACGTTTTGCTTATTTTCTCTCTTCTCTTATCTTCTCGTCGATCGTCCGAATAGTTCCCAAAAATCGGTGAATTAATACTAAAGCGTCTTATCATTCAATTCCGGAAGAGTTACCGCAGGAATGATAAACAGGTGTGCATTACGTCCACACGTTTTATCGCACATCTCGTCAATCAACAAGTGGTGAGTTCTTTAGATTCCGGTTATCTTTGCCGTCATTTCTTTGTGATTGCATTGCAATTAATCCAATGTCTTATTGAACAATAGGCTCACGAAGTCGTCTCATTAGAAATATTGACACTTTTGTTGGAGAACGCGACCAACGATTCGGTGGAAGTGGCCATCGCTTTCCT